AATTCAAATGCACTGACTGAGTGACCGATGCATGGATGACAGGTTGTTTGACAGATGAAATAAATACGACAGGAGGCAAACTGTCCTGTCCCCCCCCAATACTAATAATAAGAACAACGGGCCAGGCCTCCTCCGCGGCTACTTTGCTACCCCCCCCCCCCCCTAAGAATCTCTTTTTTAAAAAAAACCCCCCCGTGGGGGGGCCCTGAAGTCCGATTTTAGAAACCGTGTAGTTTTGAGTAAATTGGGAGATATTACCAATTACAGAAAGAATGACATGATCAAAGATTTAATTTTTGTTCAAAGAATGTATCTCACAGAGCTGAGCCAGCCTGACATCCTGTATGCTTATGGGTATTATTTAACTGAAAACAAAAAAAGTTATTTCAAGTTACCCCAAATCCTGTGATCTTTTGTGTCGGCTCAATCATCTAATGCAGCTATTCTCAACCTGTGGGTCACGACCCCTTTGGGGGGTCGAAGAACCCTTTCACAGGGGTCGCCTAAGACCATCGGAAAAAAACATATATAATTACATATTGTTTTTGTGATTAATCACTATGCTTTAATTATGTTCAATGTGTAACAATGAAATTGGGGGTCACCACAACATGAGGAACTGTATTAAAGGGTCGCGGCCTTAGGAAGGTTGAGAAGCACTGTTCTAATGCTTTTACAAGAACCCTGTTTTGAGGGGAGTTGCTGGGAAATACTGTCAGATTATTGACTGGGATCTCCAGGTGTTTTGGATTCCCCTGGTTTGCAAATTAGCAACCTCCCAAATGCCTACTAGTCAATAGTCCGTGTCCTGAATAGTCTCTATCATCTTAAAGCTGCCGTGACGAGGAGCCACAGACCAGGTGGCTGACAAACAGACATGTCTGTCCTCACGGCTCTGGGGGCTGGACGTCCAACCAGGTGTCAGCAGGTGTGGACGGCCGGGCCTCGCTGCGGAGCCCGCGGACATCGCCGGGCCCCTGTGGTTTCCTCCGGCACGTCCCCGAGTTTCTGCCTCCTCCAGTAAGATCCTCAGGGGATGGGGTTAGGGCCCAGTGCCATGTAAACTCCTCATTTTCACTTCATCCTTCCTCACAGGCCTGTCTCTACAGGCAGTCACACTGGGGGGTAGGGCTTCAACGTATAATTCTAGGAAAACACAGCTTGTGTTTCTTGCGTGTTTGTGATTCTTAAGCCTCGTTTCCTGAAACCCCCGAGCCTGTTTGTCCACAAATACAGCGTCGGCTTCTGCTGGGCGCCTGTGCCACTGGCCTAATTCAGACCCTTTTACTCCTAAACCCATGTGCAGTGTCAGGCACGGGGGGAGGGAGAGGAGAATGCGAGTTAGAAGGTGGTCAGAGTCCCTCTTTGTTCTCTTTCAAATCCTCATGCCGCCCCTTTTCCACACGGCTTGGTGGAACATGAGCAGAGGGTCAGACTCTCCATGACGTGTGGGGTGTCTTCAAGGGATACCTAAAAGGAAAGAACTCCCCAGCGTTGTGTTTATCTTATAAGAACGAGAGACATGAAGGCTTGGGGACATGTGGCTCAGATTGCCGTCACATAATTTATGGGAGTAATTTTCTCCTTTTCGGAACTCGTAAGTGGGTTGCCTTTATTTTACCGCCTCTCTGTTCGTAACGATGTTATGGCTACTTCACATTCCCTTTTTGTGCCCAAGTGAAGACGTCCTTTCTGTAGGCAGGACGCGCGTTGTATGAACCACCAGGAACCTGCCCGTGGCTGGCGTCCACCCGGTGATGTCGGAGCAGGTGGAGAAGGAGCGCCATTAGCCCAACGCCAAGAGGAGAAGAACGGGCGTTTGCCCTAAGGCATCCCATCCACTGGTGGCCTGTGCAGAGTCATCGTGAAACTCCTTAAAGCAGCAGAAAGGATTTGCAAATGAGCATGATAATTCAATTACTTTGCTGGACAAAAGCCTCAGGAATTAAAAAATGCAAATGATCCACTTGGAAATAACAACAAATCAATTTTGTTTCCATGTGTTTGCAAGTGACTGCTTGTCTCATGACCCTTGACTGACCTTTGAGCCCAGGACCCTCCGAGGCGGAATCTGAGGCGGGCGGGGCAGGTGGCTGGCCCCTGGGATAATCCACTTAAAGGATGAGGCTGCCCAGGCGCTGGGAGCTCCCGACCAAGAACAAATACTGTCAGGAGCGCAGGGCCCAGCCGGCTGGCGTGGCTCAGTGGCTTAGTGTTGACCTATGAACCAGGAGGTCAGGGTTCCATTCCTGGTCAGGGCACAGGCCTGGGCTGCAGGCTCCATCCCCAGTGGGGGGCATGCAGGAGGCAGCGGTCCATGATTCTCTCTCATCATAGATGTTTCTCTCTTTCTCTCTCTCTCTCTCTCTCTCTCTCTCTCCCTCTCTCTCCCCCCTCCTCTCTGAAATCACTAAGAATACTTTTTCAAAGAGCATAGTGATAGCTTCTCAGCCTCTTGGCTAAGATCAAGTGTAGTATCTGTTCTTATCAGTTTAAAAGAGCGTAGTGAAACTTTCTAACATTCATAAATCTTACTTGTGTGGGTCTCTAGGGCAATCGCTTCCCAGGTTTGGGGGAAGGGCGTCTCCAGAGAAGAAGGCACTGATCTCTCTGGATCTGCAATGGAAGGAGCCGTGGTGGGAGGACGGGCTGTGGGCGCGGCTGAGCGACGGGGCGGGCGGCCCAGGGCAGGGAGGTGCCTGTGCAGCACAAGTCCGGTGGCCTCGGGTTTTCCTTCTTAAGCCACCGCTGCAGAGAGCTTCACACACAGGTTCGCACCGGCTAAAGCAGCGA